AAAAGAAAAACAAAAACTCGGTTCAAAAAAGGAAAAAAGAAATTTCCTGTTGCTAAGGGGGGGGGGGACAGGGGGCTAAACAAAATTGTGGTTTTAATAAAATTCTCCCAAATCACTGAGTACCAAGTCTAAGTAACAGTTATTTCAAGGAGTTGGTCAACCTCCTCCATTTTAAACTGTTCCCCAAATGGAATTCTCAAAATTTAGTACTAAAGAATTGCCGCCGGGCGTTGGTGGCGCAAGCCTTTAATCCCAACACTCTGGAGGCAGAGGCAGGCTGATCTCTGTGAGTTCCATACCAGTCTGTTCTACAAGAGCTAGTTCCAGGACAGCCTCCAAAAGCCACAGAAAAACCAAAAAAAAAAAAAAGCCAAAGACCAGAGCACAAGTCCAACTCCTTTGGTTTTATCTTTTAACCCCCTTACATTCCACCCTCTCCCCAAACACTAACTTAATCAGTGTTAGTTATTTTTTCCATATACCAATGTATCCGAAATCCAAAATTTTAAAGTCAAAAGATATTTCAAGTTTTGTTAGCAAACACCGTTTGCTAAAACGAATAAAAAAAACTTTATGCATCAACTTGCTCACAAATGCTGCTTATCAAATGCAGTTGTTTATTCTGGTAACAGCTACTTTCTGTATTTACAGGTTCCTGTTATGATCAACAGTATCAGGTACATCCAACAGGAAGGCTTACCTGTTTGCAAAGCACTAAGAGGATGAGAGGGGCAATCTCTGAATACTAAATGACACCATGACTTCTGTCAATCATGCACAGTAAGACCTCCTATATTGCCTTAAATCCAAAGTGAGACTCCACGATAACTGCTCCCTACTTAAACTGACACCTGCACTGCAGCTTTCTGTCTTAGTGGAGAAATATTCTTCCCTACCCCTTCCCAGTTTCGATTTGCAAGTTATATTCCTACATTTAAAACACACACACACACACACACACACACACACACACACACAAACCCCACGAAGGTACGTAGACTTAGTTGGGAGGAGCCCCTGGCGGAGTTAATTACAGCACTTCCCTGACCGTGGTTAGCAATTGACAGTTTCACACCCAAGACAGTATCATCAGCTCCAACAAGGGCTTTTGTTTGCAAATGCAGCGCAATTTCTCTAAGCCTCAGCAGGAAGTTAGAGTGGGGTTATTCCGAAGGAAAAGGGGGCTGTGGAAAAGGGAAGAGTCAAGCCAAGGACTGGAGTCCGGTAACCGTAGGGCAATAATTCCTCGCCCCCTCCCCCAACCACACTCTCTTCAAACCCAGCTCCCTCAGATCAAAAAACGCAAAAGGCTTTGGTGCCCTGCAATCCTATCTGCGCCACAAGAGCCGGAACCAGCTCCGCGGGTAGGAAACAATAGGGACTCCCCTCAGAAAGCCCGGAAGAGAACCCCCAAACTGGAAAGCCTCTGCTCTCCTCTAAGCCGGAGGCTCCCCTAAAGCCCCCAGTCCCCCGCGACCTGCAGGGCCTTTCTGCAGCCCAGCCGCTGCGGGTCTTCTCCCAGGCCCGTCTCGGGCCAGCACAGCCCTGCCGCCCCCCAGAGGGCTGCCTCGTACTCCCGACACCGCTACCGA